AATCTCCTTTACATTCCTTTTCTCTGCCTGCCGAGCAATTTATTGCACTTATAATATTCTCTCTCTCTCTCTCTCCTCTTCTCCTATTTTTAAAATTTTAACTTCCTCCAAATTTTTCCAAATTTTTAAAATCGTTTTACGACGCGATTGTAAACGTGAGCGTTGACAAACGACACAACGGAAACGAGGCAAAACGTCTTGGTCTAACATGGAGGGAGGGGCAGGTGTCCTTGAATCGAAGAAGAAGAGGGATCATCAGGTTCGAACAATTAGGAAAAAGAGAGAGGAGCTGTCGAGTTATAAGAACGAAATTAAATCTACCCGTCCCGATGATACGTCTTCGATTCTATCCTCGTTACTCGGTTGGAAAAGCGGAGAGATGTCGAGAGGCAGACGTCCTCCATTGGAAGGAAGGAAATTTCGATTCCAGTTACGCGAGCGAGTTTCTCGAGTTTCTCTTCAGAAGAGAGCCTCCTCCTCGATTCGATTTGTACACGATCCCCTGATTGCTACAATCGGAAATTGCAGCAGCCGTGTAAGCAGCTCGAGACAAATTCAAAACTTATCGCAACACGGCCAGCGGCGTAACAGCCTTGGACGCATGGCTCCCCTTCTCTGTTCCGAAATGGCCTGCTTCGATCCCGCCGTTCCATCGATTAAACGCGTTGTTACTACTCGATCGATCACACTCGACGATATTCGAATCGAAAGGAACGGAGTTTTTCGAATATTTCTTGAAATCGAGCAAGCAAACGAGAGAGTTTGCTCGCTATGAATGAAAATTAATAAAAATAATATAAAATTCTTCCATTTCGTTTGAACGAATACCAATAAAATTCGCACTTCGACTTCGATCGAAAATTAGTACCAAGATGCACTCTCTGTCCTTCCTAAAGGATAATCGCGAAAGTCGAGGGGGATCGTTGAAAGGGTAAACAGGGCGAGGACGTTTATCGAGGACGTTTACAGGAGTCCGGCCGATTAGAAGGGTGATCTAATTTCGGCACGAATCGGTGGCGAAAGTGGCTCGACAATTCGGGACATCCTGCTCCTGATTAGGTTTATTTGCGGCTGGCCGGCCGGAGCTATGTCCAACATCCTGAAAATCAATGGGGGAGATACGAGGGAGGGAGAAACAAGCAGTAAGCAAGCAAGATTGGGCCGGTGAAACAATAGCTCTCCTCCCCTGACGGACGGAACGCTTGATTACCACGGATAATTATAGGCGACGCGAATGATTTGTATTAATGGGGTCCGCGTTGATACTTAACGCACCCACCGATTTATCACGAGTGATGTACGGCTTGATGCGAGCACCCGTTCACCGTGCGCCAAATATCGATCGATCCGATTTAAAGGTTAGCAATTTTGAATAATTTCTCGAACGTAAAGTATAAAGTGTACTGTTTTACTTTGTTAACGCTACGATCTTGTGCAGAGAGAGTCGCCAGTAGTAGCGAAGGATTAATTGAAAATAAGAAAGTAAGAAGGAACGAAAAAATATATGAGAAATATGATGTATATACCTGACATTTTAAATAAACGTAGATTTTGTACACTTCTTCTTTTCAAAATGCAGAGTGTATATTATTAAGGATATTTTGTTAATAAATATTATTACGAGTAATTTTAAGATTAGGAATTTCGATCTGTTTCTCGAACGTAGAATATAAGTGTACTGTTTTACTTTGTTAACGCTACGATCTTGTGCAGAGAGAGTCGCCAGTAGTAGCGAAGGATTAATTGAAAATAAGAAAGTAAGAAGGAACGAAAAATAATATGAGAAATATGATGTATATACCTGACGTTTTAAATAAACGTAGATTTGGTATACACTTCTTTTCAAAAATACAGAGTGTATATTATTAAGGATATTTTGTTAATAAATATTATTACGAGTAATTTTAAGGTTAGGAATTTCGATCTGTTTCTCGAACGTAAAGTACAAGTGCACTGTTTTACTTTGTTAACGCTACGATCGACTATCTCAGCGACATCTTGTGCAGAGCGACTGTAGTCGTCAAATATCGTTTATTACGAGTAATTTTAAGGTTAGGAATTTCGATCTATTCCTCGAACGTAAAGTATAAGTGTACTGTTTTACTTTGTTCACGCTTAACGATCGATTATCCCATCTCGTGCAGAGCGATTGTAGTCGCCAGTAGTAGTTAATTGATCGAAAATAATAAAAGAACGTAAGACAAAATATAGAATGAGCGAATGATGTAGCTGACATTTTATATATAAATAAACGTAGACTGATCATATATTGTTCTTATGAAAATGTAGAGTGCGCATTATTAAAGATATTCCGTTAATAAATACCGTTTATTACGAGTAATTTTAAGGTTAGGAATTTCGATTACAACAGATAATTATCGATTTTCGAGAAGGAACGAAACTTGTTAACGCTACGATCGGTGGCATATCTTGTGCAGAGAAGCTATAGTCGCGTATAGTAACGAAGGAATTAATCGATCGAAAATCGAACAAGAAAGTAATAAGAAGAGTGTACTTTAACGATATTCTGTTAATAAATGCCGTTTATTACGAGTATAATTTAATACAACGTAAACGTAAGTTTTACAGGATTGACACTTGTATAGGATCCTTTTTTGGGTAGAGAGTATTTGGGATTTATTTTCGCGGATTGACTAGGCTCGAAGCAAGGTTAAATGATTATTCGAAAAGAAGTTAAAGAGACCCTTTAAGAGGGATAACTGGGAATTTAAAATTTAACAAGGCCGTTCTTCCTCGAACGACACAAAAATATATACAATCGGATATACCTGCCGTTTTAAATAAACTGGTGGTAGACTGGTTATATTCTTGTTTTCAAAATGCAGTCGGTTCAGTAATGAGTGTACATTATTATCAACTTCAGGTATATACCTAGCGGTACTCTGTCAATACCGCTATTAATACCGAGTAATTTATTATTATACACCACGTGACGAAATCGTAACTATCTATCTTTTCGACGAAACCGTAATTATCGATTTTCGAGAATCAACTTTACCGATTGATCGAAAATAACGTGAACGTGAATAGTATAAGAAAAAGTAAGTAATAACGAAAAGGTACATCATCAGAAATAGTTAGTGTTAAATAAACGTCGACTGGTTTTATACAGTTGGTCGAGCAATGAGTGTACATCATTATCTCGACTTAACCTGTCAGGTACGTGGCTAACGGTACACTGTTAATACCGTTATTCCGATATTATTATTACAATTTATCATTACAAAGCACGTAAACGTACCTGACGACGAGATATCGATTTTTTCCCGAGAACGACGGAAAATTTACGACGGGCTAATTGATCGAGGATAAATGGGAATCGAAAGGAAAAAAAGTAACGATTCTCTAAGCTAAAATATTTTTTAATAATTAAAAAAGGAAGAGGGGGAAAAAAAAAAATTCGAGGAACAGAAACAGGATAGATAGATTATAAATGGCGCAAACATCGTTACGTGATGTTTAAACTTAATAGCGGTTTATACCCTCGAGTTTTCATTGTAAAAAAATATCGACGGCGCAGAGTTGGCGCAGAGTACAGGGCCGCGTGTAAACATCGGATGGATTCGGTGTTCTCCCCACCGATACGAACAATGGTTGTTCACGGAAATCGGCCGTTATTCGAAATAAAATGTGGAACGTGGCGCGCATTATATCCGCCAGGAAGGATACGAAACGAAATTCGAAATCGTTAAATTTATTTCGAAACAAATAAATTTTTTTCAACCGCGGCTAATTACGATCCGTTCATCGATTTTACGATCATACGAGTTTTACGATGAGCGGCGGGAACTTTTGTCGATCCCAATCTTGAATTTGCTTCTTACCGAGAAGATCACGATTCTTGTAATCCACGTTGCGAAGCAAACGGATGATTTCGTTTATATGATTTCTTTCGATAAACAAAATGCAACGATCGAAACGTTTACACGGAAACGATCCACGTGACGTGTTATTATTATTCTTAGAGTAAGTATTTTTCTATTATAGATATTGATTCGAGATTTCTTTTCATTTTTGCCCGTAGTATATTATAATTGCATTTCATAATTTGGAACAAAGGCGCTATTAAAGTATCGTTACTTACGAAATACAGTCTTGAAATTGTCGTTTATTAAAGAATAACCGATTTATGATATAAAAGCAAACGTGGAAATTTATTTCTCGACTCTGTTCATGGGCTCTATCTTCGTCGAGCTGAACGATAGAGGAAGGGGTTAAAAATTTAAGCATTCCACTTGTTCTCCTTTTCTTTTCGATATTTATAACCAAACCCGTCCGTGTCTCCACTTGGATCGATTTCGGGAATTCGAACGGCTGATTTTTTTGAAATATCACGAATAGATCCTTTAAAAAAGATTATACAATCTTATACAATCAAAGTTGTTGCCAGCATGGAAAAGGTGAACGAGATTAACGAAATTATTTTTCTATTCGTTAAAAGAAATTGACGAGAAGGAAATTAATGATCGAGAAATGTCGAGGAATAGCAGGTGAATGCGAGACCATCGTAACTTTATTATTAAAACAAGATGAAACCAATATAGATTTTGAATATCGAACAACAACTTAACATTCGACAAATTTCCTTTCTTTATATATGCAAAGATACGGAAAATTGTACACATCCTACAACGTACTCGTCACAATGTTTTCTCGTGCTTAAGCAGAAAATGCTAAAATATATATATATACGTACTGTTAAAATTTTCCCTGCACGAGCGAAAAGCGTCGTTCATTTCGGGGAAACGAATTTGTCAAACACGAATAAGAAAGAAACGTTGTTCGACAGCAATAGAATCTACCTGCCGCAATAAAAGTTCAGGTAGAGCGAAGCTTTAGCCAAGCTCGGATTGGCCGAAGGGCGAGCGCGGAGAAGCGTATTTAAACGCCGTTCCCCGTATCTGGATAACACAGTCATCCCTCGAGCCTCGAACCTTCCGTTCATCCATCGAACCCTCTCGAATTCTAGAGAAAAGAGAATGGAGGTGGACGAGGCAACGACGAGCGCTCGACAACAGGCGGCGAGGACGGCGAGGAAGGGAAGTTTCGCGCAGTGCACGGCCCGGTTCGACGGGAGCAGGGACAACCTGAACAAATTCCTGGTGAGCGTGTGCCTGTACAAGGACGTGGAGAGGGTGAACGAGGAGCTTGCACTGCGCGAGCTGCCGCTGCTGTTCGAGGGGGAGGCGGCCGAGTGGTGGGGCAGGGTCGGCGGGGCGGCGAGCAAGTGGTCGGACGCGATGGCCATGCTGCAGGAGGCGTACGCGCCGAGGAGGGCGGCGTACGAGATATACGCGGAGCTGTTCTCCACGAAGCAGGAGGGGAACGTGGCCACGGACGAGTTCGTCAAGCGGAAACGCGCCCTGCTGGCCGAGCTGGCCGAGCCTCATCCGGAGGAGGCGCAGATCGACATGATATACTGGATGCTGAGGAAGCAGGTACGGAGGAAGATGCCCAGGAAGGCGATAATCAGCCTGGACGACATGGTGGAGAAGGGGCGTTACGTGGACAACATGGAGAAGAGGAGGGCGACGTTGAGCAAGAGGTGGGACGAGGAGACGATGGCCAAGTATTTCGCGAGGTCGGTGGTCAAGTGCCCCCACCACAAGAGGGACAAGGAGAAGTACTTGCACGAGCGGAACGAGGAGAGGTGCCACAAGTGCAACAAGCGGAAACACGTGCACGGCAAATACAAGAGCACCACGATGAGCATCGAGCGCGTCGCGTTGTGCAGGTTGGACAGCAACACGTTGCAACGTTTCGCCGCATCGTGCAGCCTGGCCGACTCCGGCCAGGACAACACGTCCTCCTCCTCCTCCTGTCACCACCCATCGCCATCTTAAAATTCTTTCCTCCAAAGATATCCAACAGATTGCCTAATGTTTAATGTTGGCTACGTTTAATCTTTATTATTATTATTATTATTATTATTATTGTATTTTGTATAATTATTTTTGCAAAATTTTTTTAATTCCCTAATCCTTACAATTTTTTCTTCTTCCAAAAATATCGCGCGTTCGTGTATGCATAAAATTTTTAAGCTTTAAGATAATCGCTAGGTTTAACCTTCTATTATTATTATTATTGTATTATTTGTATAATTACTTTTGTAAAATTTAATCTTTCGTCGTTGTATTGGCGTCAATCGTTTGCGCGATGGCAAATATATTGTACCTGATCCAATCGAATTGTTCGCTTCTTCCTTTTGGGGAAAGAGAGAGAGAGAGAGAGAGAGCAGATGTAAGAGATGTAAATAAAAGATGTATTTTCGATCGAAACACACCTGTCGTTCATTTCGACCACCTTCGAATAAAACATTTCGTTTTTTTTTTTTTTTTTACCTATGCTTGCAATATAAAGAAAGATATAATTCGTTGAAAGATATTGAAAAATCTATATTGTTGTGCGATATTTCAATAATAATTTGGTTTGTCAGGTCGAAATATCGCGATTTATTGTCCTTCATTCTTATTTTTCATCTTCCAGTGTCAATTTCTCAACGAACAGAAGTAATTTCGTTATTCGATAACGAAAAATCGAGTAATCGCAATTTCATTACATTGCGTTCCAAAAAACTTGGGAAACTTTGAAAATAATATATTTCTATCGCCATCACTTCGGATAAAAATCCAACTATTCAACGATACATTGTTCCATAAGATTACGCTGAAAGAGCGTATTAGGAATCTGCTCGTGAAGCGATACTTGGAAAAAGAGTGAAACATAAATAAATATCGTCGTTATTGGAAAAGGTTAATCCCTTGCACTCCGGGCCTCTTTAGCTACCTTAAAATGATTTCACGCACGGATTAACACGTAAAACTTTTATGTTTCAATATTTTATCTATCTTTATAACATATAAAGAAAGATAATTTATATTGAATATTAAATTGTTGGATATCAAAAAAAATCTATATTGTGATATTTTAGCGATAAAGTAATTGCCTAAACAGGAAACATCGCGATAAAATATCGTTACAAAGTTTACAATCCCAGTAACGCGCTCTCGTTCATCGTCTATTATTCTTATTTTTCATCCTCTTATGCTACATCTCTATTTTTACCACTATTTCCCTTCTCCTTATTATCATTTCTTAATAGAATAGAAATCATTTCGTTATTCAATAACGAAGGATCAAACTCATCTCCGCTTGAATTAATTTCATTACAGCGTATTCGAGACACGCTTGCAAAACTCGGAAACTTTGAAAATAATATTTCTATCGCGACGAAATAATCAAGATCACGTCTTATTTCAGATAGAAAACTTAACCATTCGATGGTACGTTATTCTACGCTTAATAAGATTATACTTGAAGATCTGGAGCGATATTTTAAAAGAAATCAAATATAAATAATTACGTTCGTTCGAATTGCCGCATCGATTCAAATGGCGATTGAGAGTTAATCCTGGAGAAAGAAAAAGGATCGTTAAGCAGTTCTTTGAATTATTAAATTATTTCACGTTCAAGCGGGATAACGAAAATAAGTGTATTATAATTTAGATACATTTATTTGATACGTCTTTTACCACGTCTCGTGGAAAGTTTACACGAGATCGACTCGTTTGATGGATCGTCACAGGTTTCGAGTCCTTTCGAGGAAAGGAAAAAATCCATATATTTTCTTCCTATATTTTACATCGAGTAGAAAACTTTGTAACGTATCGATATAAATTGTGATCTATTTTATTGTTTATTACGAGAATGATGAAAATTAATTCTATCGAATATCGTCGATATATATATATATATATATGAAAATGAAAAATTTTCGACTTAAATTCGTATTTGATTATCCGCGATTATCGTTTCGTTAATTCGACGTTTCATTTCGATACGCTCTACATTTGAGAATAAAATAGTTTGTAAAAAAAAAGTACAGCCAAGCCGAACGAGATGTATCTCTATATGAATAAAAGTTAAATTTTGTATTTCGTTTCCGGTTAAATCCGGTCGATTAATTCGATAAGTTGAAAACTAATCTTTCAGAAATATATTATTTGGAAAAAAACAAAGTTTTCTCAAGTTTATTGAAATTATATAAAAATAAATTTTTAAACGAAGCTTCTTCATTCGATGATAATTAATTAACCATAAATTTTTCAAGCACCCCCTCTTTCGAAACGCTTCGCACGACATTTGAAATTTCCAACAACGTGCTCAAGAAGATTCTCTCGATTACCATCCCCCAATTATCCAAATATCCTCCTCGAGCTGGCTTTGATAACGAAAACGTGGATCGTGGCTGGCCAAATAAAGGAATACGTAAATTTCGAGAGAAAATTCGTGTTTGACGAGCTCGACGAGCAAACACAGCTCGTCAAACGTGGAAGGAAGGGAAACGACATCATCCTAGACATCTGGAACAACGATTCGATGGGTTAACGAACGATAAACCCTCCTCAACGCGAGAGAATATTTTCCAGCCGCATCGAAGAACAACGAATTTCAACATCCTCGATTTTGCCTCGCGAATCTAACGAGAACGATCCACTCGGCGCAAGCGTCTTAAGCTCTATATAAAATTTATTTCTTTCTATTAGTTCCTTAAAAAGTAGTTTCGATCGTTGGCGAGAATTCGGTTGAAAATCAGTTGAATCGAGAAGTGAAAAAAATATTCTCAAGTTTCTTTCTTTCTTAACTCTGCACTCGAGTGAATTTCTTAGCTAAAAACTTAAAACGATTTTATTTGTGTACCTTTGCGTGTAAAGAAAGGAAATTCGTATTAAAATCTACATGTCGGGGCACAATAAACATGTTACGATCCCACATTCACCGTCTTATTCTATTCTTATTTCTCGTCTTTTTATGCCACACCTCTATTTTCCTCCTCCTCTGTCAACTCGATTTCTCAACGAGTAGAAACAATTATTTAATAACGAAAAATTCGTCTCGAACGTTCTTCACCGTCTATTATTACTCTTCTTACTCTTCATCTCGTCGCATCTCAATTTTCATCATCTATATCTTCTCTTTATCCTCGATTTCTCGACGAACAGAAATAACAATCCTCGAACAATCGTCCGTTCCGACGGTATATCATTCACGATAACGAGCGGCAATGGTAAAAAATATCGGGCAAAGTTGATGGAGCACGGTTCCTCTTCGAGGGACGATCGAGACGAGAAGCGCGATCCTTGCAAGAAAATTTAATCAACGCGACACATAATTCGGCATTGTTCGCGGGTATTCCATTAAATCGTCCAATTAAGTTGGCGCGCGAGGCAAGTAAATCGGTTGAGCAGCGCCGTCTGCCGGCAGTTTGACGCGGCCGTTTCGTTCGTGGCCGAAAGTGTAATTGCCCGTTCGAATGAAAGCCTCGTAAAGAGTTTCGAGAATCCCGTGCTGACAGCGGCACTGTCATAAATGGAAACAAGCCCCGTTTTCACTACGGCCGCGCAATCCCGTGTATAAATTTAATGGAATTTTTCGTGGCGGATAATCGTTTCGTTCGCGCAACAATTATCGATCCACGTTGCCTTATCTTTCGTTTCTTATCTTGCCAAAGTGTACATTTTTTTAACGATGCGGGAAAGAATTTGGAAGAAACGATATACCTTCGCGTCGAAAATTCTTCTACGCTTCGTTTCGATTACGATGCTACGCTTTTGTATGAAGTATTCGTTTATCTAGATAGTAATAAGTGTAAAGGGAATACACGAAGAATTTGGAAAGGCAATATAAAGTGTTTGTTTCGATCCGCGAATTTTGATTCACGAAGTTATAAGTTCGAAAAATTACGTTTCATTTCGATATGATTACGCTCGGTTTTTACGAAATATACATTTATATAATAAGTAGAAACGATGAAAGGATATGTGAGGAATCTGGAAAAGCAATGGAACGAATTTTGATGTCTTCGCATCGAAGGGAATTCACGAAGTTATAAATTCGAAAAGTTAGTGTTTCATTTCGATATAATTACACGCTCAGTTTTTACGAAATATACATTTATCTATTAATAAGTAGAAACGATGAAGAATTTGGAAAAGCAATGGAACGAATTTTGACGTCTTCGAAGGGAATTGACGAGGTTATAAATTCGAAAGTTTACGTTACGTTTCATTTCGTTTCATATCTAACAAGTATAAACGATGAAAGGATGCACGAAAGCAATGGAACGAATTTTGACGTGTTCGAGGGGAATTCGAACTATAGATTCGCGAAAAAAAGATTTCGAGCGCTCTCCGGTTACACCGCTGGCTCCATCGCGAGGCAAAGGAGGTTTTACTATATTAGAGCCCACTTTGCCTACGTTCTCACCGAATACGAACGCTGTTACCTTTTACACACGTAACATCACCCCTCCTCCACGAAAGAGACAATTTGAATTACAAATTCACCACTTCGCCATTGTTACCGTCGCTCGCTGTATATATTCATCACGGTAATAACCAACTAAGCGAGAAAATGAAATTGCCGCTGATGCTGTAACAATTAAACCGACTGGTTGAAAATCAAAGGGAAAACGAACACTTCTCACTCTATCCAGCAACCTCTCGAACGACGAACGTCGAAAGAAGCGAGTATGTTCTTTGTTCATTTCCAAAAGCGTGAAAAGAGGAGTAGTAAGTGGCCAGACTCTCCAGCCAGACACGTGAAGGGAAGGAGGAGAAGAAGTGTAGGCAGAAAGAGCTGATCGAGCTGATGCGCCGTTGGAAGCGAAGCGAGAACAGCCTCGTCTCTCGCCTCCTCGCCGCGACAAACAATAAAGCCTGGCGAAACGAGGGAACAGACGATTCTGAGATAACGCGCGCTTGGAAGCTTAGGTAGTTTTAAAAATTATAAAGAGAACCATGTGGATGTGTTTCTCGATTTTCCTCGTTATCTCTCCTCGTTT